TGTCCAGGTCCCTCTGGATGGCAGCGCAGCCCTCTGGGGTATCATCTGCTCCTCCCAGTTTGGTATCATCAGCAAACTTGCTGAGGCTCCATGAAGGCTCTATGCCTTCATCCAGGTCATTGATGAATAAATTGAACAGGACTGGACCAAGGACTGACCCCTGGAAGACCCTGCTAGCTACAGGCCTCCAACTGGACTCTGCACTGCTGATCACCACCCTCTGAGCTCTGCCATCCAGCCAGTTGTTAATCCACCTCACTGTGCACTCATCTATCCCATACTTCCAGAGCTTGCCCAGGAAGATGTGAGGGACGGTGTCAAAAGCCTTGGTGAAGTCGAGATAGATGACATCCACTGCTCTCCCCTCATCTATCCAGCTAGTCATTCTATCTGTGACAGATATGCTCCTTCCCCAGCTCATCCTGACTTCTCACAGGTAGCCCTGTTCAGGTGTTAACTACCACATTATCTGATCCTAGTAGTTGCCTCCCTGATTTCTTCCCCCACCCAGACATTAACCATCAATAACAGTCCTGATGGCCCTATCCTGATGGGGAGATAAGCACCAGCCAACAGTCATTTCTGAATTGAAAGAATGACTATCAGTCAATCATCTTTATCCCATAAATACGGGGACAGCCCAAGAGCCCATTGAGCTCTCCTTGCATGGCAGTGGGCTGCACGCCAAGATCTCCCCTTGACCAGGGACACCTCTCAAGGATACTCCTCGAGGTCAAGACATTCTTCCCACTACAGATTCGTGGTAAGCAACAATAGCGTGCCTTTCTCTTTTTGATTTTGTAAACTTTACTTTGTAACTGTGCATAAATCCCTTAGACATAAACTGTTGACCAGGTCTGGGACTAGGACTGGATCCAGCTGCACCCAGACTCCTCTCAAGAAGGAGTTTGGAAATCAAGTGGGTCCAATCTGAACCTCGTGACCCAACGGGAGGGTGTCCTTGGTAATTCTGTATGTATCTTGAACCTCCATGCAGCAACTAATAAGTGACCTTGCCATAGAATCTCATGAAGCCATTATCATGGCCAATAAAACCTATTCCTATTTCTTTCCCAGAAGTGCATTGTGTCACTCACCCCCACCACCACTCATTCTGTGACACCATCATAGAAGGCTATCAGGTTAGTCAAGGATGATTTCCCCATAGTGAATCCATGCTGACTACTCGAGTATTTTCTTGTCCTCTATGTGCCTGGAGACAACCGCCAGTATGAGCCATTTTTTTTTTTTTATTTTACAATCTTTGTTCTCTTCATCATGGGCATGCTTTGAGCATGTTTAAGAATATCTGACAAAAGAACAGCCCCTAACTTAGAAAATAAAAGCCACAACCTTCACCATGTATTCCTAGGAGCAGATGCTCTTTCTACCTTCCTTCTGAAAGATCCAGGCAAACAAGGACTAGTCAGAACCTGAACTACTATTTTTGAGAACTTCTAACCAGGATGTTCATACAAACACCCCAGTATGTACTTGCCTATGTACTAAAAATTTCACACTGGAGACCTCATGAGCCATTTTAGAGGCTCATGGCAGAGTAAATCATGAAAGGCAGAATAAATCAGGGGATATCTAGAGGTGCAGACTCATTCTGCCACTACAAGGTTCAGTCTCATTTTACTGAGTGATGAGTTCCCAGGTCCCTACTTCTGCCAGCACTAACATTTGCACAAGGTGGAGAGTCAGATCAAACATCTAACCTAGCTAAAAAGTAACCTTTAAAAAAAATGAAATAGATTGTCTTTCAGACAGTATATTTACCTGATCCAGCTGACTGTATACCTACATAAATACTAGTGTCAGTATAAAGTATGAAAACCAGCACTAGGGGATGGAGAAGTATTATTATCCCATCTAATGGCAAAGTGTGCGAGATTATAGTGTCTGTGAAGTTCTACCCTAAGTAAACATAAGATTTCAAGAGTCATAATAGAAATGCTTCTCCTTATCACACAAGCCTAACACCTGCATCTACCTTAATACACAACAGCCTGGAACCTGCCCCTTCTCAATATCTTGAGGACCACTCAAACTACACACGTTTGCCCCCATCAACAAGGGGGCTGATATTGCCCACTTCAGAACACAGAGAGCAGGAACTATGGAAGAGCATGTGTCCTATAAATCCAAAACAGTGCTGTGGCATGATATACATGAGCAATATACATACATACAGCTAACAGTCCCAGGCATCTGCTCTTGCTCCCAAGAACCATGCCACAGGCAGCACTCCTTGCCTCCCTCCACAGTGTCAGGCTGAAGGCTCCCATGAAAGGGGTTTGCCCTCTGCTACAGTTATCCCTCCTGGCAGCCCTCTCCTCATCTCTTGGAGAAGAGCTCCTGCTCAGTCCATGAAAAATGAAGGTATGACACTCATCTGACCCACAGGCCAAGCACTTCACAAGCACAGGTTACAGAATTAAAATTCTATTCTTGAAAAATTGGAGAATAGAATCTAATTTACTTTACACAATATAATCTAATGGCATTTCATTATTTGACCTACAGCGTCACTTAAAAAGTCATGAGACATCACAAAGATATTGGAGAAGCATCCTCACCACAGAGTTCTCTATGTAAATTAGTAAAGCAAAGAAGAAAACAAAAGCAAAGTTGGATACACAATATTGCAGAAAATAATATCAGAGACAAGACCAGAAACCACATCTCCTAGATTTTGGGATACATGCTACAAATTGGACCATGACGCCTTCCACTGTCAGTTAAATGACTTTTAATAAATAATTCTTTATGAGACGCTTACCTTTAGGAAGCATGTGTGTTACAGCTAATGTAGAGCACATCCATAAGATACTTTTTATATTTAACATCTTGACCTACAGATAAAGAAAAAAATGAGTTAGAGGCATTCCACTGTGTCCTTGTCAAGTGCTATAACTCAGTACATCAGTAACTGCCATTGATATTAGAATCAATTCATGATGCTTTCCATCTGCAAACGTGTTGCCCAAGGACTTCCTGCTTTCAAGACTTCCCCAAACATTTTGATGGAGATTTGTTACTATGATAATTTGGACCTATTTAATACAGATTCATAATGAATTTCAGATTATCGATTCTCAAGTGATATTCAGATTTGTCAAGCCCCTTTGTGTGTGCTCCTTACTTCCTTCTGAGGTTGCCATTCTACAATTGAAAAGGGTGTTCATAATAGCATATTGTAATTTTTATTCCACTTCCTAGTTAATGCATTGACCATGAGCTAATACAAAAATTATGTGGCGCACTAAAAATATCATTACAATTCCCATAAATGTCAGATATTATAATGGCTTTGTAATAGTCTCTCTTCCACATATGCTATATCTATCAATCATAAGAAATAGCTTTCAGGAACAGTTTGTGAAACACTGCTGTTAAAAACCTCCAGATTTCCCAATACTGCTCTCGAAATATACTACTTGGGCTCTTTGCTTCAGCTAGTACCCCAAAATGACACTTTTCCCCAATCCAAGACATTACAGTTTAACTGCTGTTAGGAATCTTGAAACTAAGATTTACTAGATATACATCTATGTTACAACTATAAAACTCGTATTACATATTTTAGAATTTTTACACATGAGCATTTTAGTGCTTTAATATTTCCACATCATATTTTAGGGCTAAAACAGTAACTAATACATCCACAAAACTTCACAGATTATATTGAATAGACAGCTACATGAATACATAAAGTAACATCCTCAGAAAACTACTGGTCATGCATCCAACCTCAAGAAAGTCCTCTACACAGCCTCCAGCTATAGCCCAAACTTCTCAAGAGTCTATGCAAATTTGGGTTCACCCTGTAATAGCTGAATGGCTCAGAAAGGATGCCATATATCTCAAACCAAGCCTTTACAATGAGGCAATCTCTAACATGAAAGCATCCCAGCTCTAACATAACAGCGTAACAGTTCAGAATTCCCATCCAAAAGTACCGAAAACCCAGGAGTGCTTCATTCCCCTATATGACGATGGCCAGAGTTGGCTAGCTACACTATATGCTGCAACCTATTCCCAGGGCATGTGGGGAAAGAGCCCAGCTGCTTTCCATGCAGCTGACCACACTTTGGCAAAGACGCCCCATCTTTGCTTCAGCCATTCAAGTGTCCTGAGAGTATGATGTGATATCTCTTCTTTTGCAAGACCAACTCCATAGAATTTTCACTTTTTATGACCAAATCCTAGACAAGAACTGACATCTTAGACTTAACTCAGGTTGAGTCCTAGTCTCCTCTAACATTTTTTTTTGAAGACTAACGCATATCCTCCAACAGCGCTCAAATGGTCTAAGTAGGGGTCTTTCCCCTACTTACACACAAGCAAGGCTGAACATGGATAAAAAAAATCATCCATTTAATAACTAACTTTAAAAATCTTGACAGTGATTGTAGTCTTTAGAAATTCATCAGGGAAGGCTGTCAGGAGTGGAAAGGTTACACACACACACAAGCTGCAGACAGTTCATTTGAATGCAGTAGATCACTTTTCAAACGCAGCAGTTTTATTTGCTTAGATACTCATTAAATGACCCCCAGTACTACACAACATCTCAGGAAAAAAGAGGTCAGTTTAAGTCTACACATGTGCACAAACTAGAAGGCACTTCAAGTAACCCTCATATCCCGAGACCACTGTGAAACATCAAGCACAGAAATTACTACAAATTAGCTCCTCCAGCAACACAACCACTCTGATGAAGGCATAAAAAGAAGTGCTACAGAATTTGCCACCCTCAAACACAGCAAATAGTTGACCTGCCTTCAAAATAGCGCTAAAGCTCTGGCCTTGATGAGAACACTGTGGCTCCAGACCTTCTCTTGAGATATTCTGTCCATATGTTTCCTATGTGTCACCCACTGGTTCATCAACAGCAAAACAAAATAGTCAAGAACAAATTGTTTACAAGCTTAGCTTTTCATATTTTTCCCCATACTCTTTACCTTCCTCCTCCCCCAGAAGGCAACCTTGGTTTCTCAGACAAGAAATAAAAGTTCACAGAGTAAAAGAATAAAGGATTTGTTTTTCCTTGGAGATGGGCATGCTGCACATAAACAGCGCAATGTGCATGTTGCTCTATACCTCCCGTTCTACGGCATTTCCTTCGAGGGGAAGGAAGCCAACAGGCTTTCAAGTCAAACAGCAACAGGAAGGCTAAGGAAGCATCAATAGTCTCTTTGGAGGTCTCAGGTTAATAGCTTCTAATGGACAATCCTGAAGGACAAGGATTACTTGGTGACGCTTTACTTTTCACCCTACTCACAAGGGTGACAAAAGTGAGTGTCAGCACAAGCCAGTGTGAAAATGCTTTTACCTAACTGATGCTTGGCAAGAACGCTCTCTTGAACAAGCTGTGACAATCCAGGATCTATCCTTTAATTGTTGAAAGGTTCAGAATTTTAAGACACCTCAGATTATAAAGAGGCACTCTTGAACATGAGAGCAGCCTGCTCAGAACTACCATACAACAGGACTGGTAATCCAAGGCTCTGGTGAAGGCTCTGACAACCAGTACCTACATACTCACCACATACTGGTGGGCAGTCCTTCACACTCGGAGATGGTGCAACTGGTTCCACACCTAGGTAATTCCACCAATGCTACTGCATACAGGGGCTGTGAGAGCCAGCAGCGCCAGCTGCCCTGAGGCTCAAGGCAGGACCTCATCTTCCCATTCCACTACAGTTTGCACACACACATACAGAGCATACTAACTCAAACATCATATCAGTGACTGAACTCCAAATGTAATTTGAGGAACCATATGAAGAAGTCAACAGCAGCTTTCAGGCACTAAACATGAAAAAAAAATGCAATGGCAGCACATGAAAACATGACAACTGTGGAATAATCTGCAAGACATCCTCTGACTGATGAAGCCTAGCTGATATCAGCCATCAGTACAGAACAGAGTATCCATGGTTTCTTTTTCTATACCTTCTCTCCCCAGAGGCACTTTTTCAAGCAATGAAAGATGTTGGTTCAATCCTCACCCCTTAGGTCCATGGCTTCCAGGCAACACTCAAGCATGAGGGTTTTGACACCCTAGTCCACAGCAGGATCCAGCAAACACTTGCAGGTTACAGAGTGCTGTTCCACTACAGCAGTCAGAATGAGACATGCCTTTATCCCAGTGTCCCCACCAGAACAACAGCACGTGGATTAAAACAGTATTGTCTAATGCGACCCTGAAGGGCAGCCCAGTCTAGAATTGGAAAACAAAATTCTTCAAATCTAGTATCAGCAATATTCTTTAGGAGTTACAGGCAAGAGTGTTTACTGCTAGTCCCCAGTCCCAGTCAGTGCTGCCCACATTTCCAGGCCACTTGAATTACTGTCCCAAAGTGATTACTCCCATCTCCTCTCCCAGTGCTGACCAACACAGACTGCAGCTGACATTGCTGCCTTGTAGCTTTCTGAAAAATAAATGAAATCCCTGCTCTAATACTGGTTTGCGTTTCCCATCCCTGCACACTACAGTTTAGAGGTCTCTGCTCAGTTCACAGCCAGTAATTAGCCAAAAGTTTTCTAACCACGCCTTTTTCCATATGCTTTCCCCCCTCCACTTGGTGTGACTACGCCTAGAGTAAGAAAAAGCCAATGCTATGGACACCATAAGGAAACCCTGCCAACTCAGGACTACAAGACTTGAGCAAGCGTTTATTTTCCACCATCTATTAAAACAAAATAAAATAAAAATCTTACTTTATGTGGCCAAACTTGAGTTGCCTGCTGGCTAGTTTCCAACTGGACTGATCCAGTTTACTAGGAGCTACTACATACAAACAGATCTACACTGGGCACAGTGTCTTTTAATTGAAAGATGCCAAGTCCCTGGTAAACTTCACATCTTTGAAAAGCAGCAGTAAGGATGAAAATGTGTTCTTTTGGGGGAAGAGAATACAGTTCCCATTTTTACAGGCAGTGCTGCTTTGCCTTACAAAAGTAGTAGCTAAGCAAGAATTTGTATGAGCAATAAGTTCTGATCACATTCCAGCTTGTGTTTAACTTACAATGAAGGCTTGATGTCATACCAATGCAATTTTAATTTAACCAGATGGGAGAATATCATGTCTCTCCCTCTCTACGCCTTTTGGAAATTTCAGGTTAAGAAAGTGAATTATCCATGTAGCATCTACTATCCAAAACTTTTTCTCCTGAAGTTGGAAAAGTAAGAAATTAGCTACTTTCACAGAAGTGACACTGTCATAAGAGGTTGGAACTTTTCAGGTCATAGCAAAATGTCATAATGACACGTCCTACAGTTATATTGGGAAAGCTGGACACATTACTTGAGTAAAAAAAAAAAAAAGGCTCTGCCCATCTCCCCTTTCTGCCTATACAGTAAATTTAAGGTTCATAATAACTGAAAAAAAAAATATCCCAAAGAAAATTTGGCACTAGAGAAGTGAATTAAGGTTACTGCTCCTACTAATGGATAAAACAGTAAATTACACAACCTTCCAGTGAAAACCAGGCAAGCTAGAACTGACCTATCCCAGATGTAGCACTTCTCTCGCTGCCTTCTGACTCTGGTTGAAACTTTTGGAGCTGCTATACTTTCTCAAACACACACAGTCTGCGTTTTCTTTTGCCATCCTTTGATCCTTTTGTGCCAGCTGACTGTTAATTGCTCACATGTATTAACTTAACCATAAGCTCTGTTTAATTAACTTAGCCTGTTTCACCACGTTTCTGCCATGTGATTAATTAGTTCACTGTGCTGCCACTTGGTTGGCTTGGCCTGTATCTGATTCATCACTGGCAATGCAAAGTTGCCTCCTGCAATAGGGCACAAGGCCATAAGGGTCTTGAGGGCCTCTGC